ATATTAATGAGTTTTTTGGGTTCATTGAGAACATGGTTGTTGTTCAATAATAAAATTATTCCTCAAAAATACAACTTGCCTAATAATTCTGCACTCCCTATAAAGCAGAGCATTTGGAACTTATTTCTATTCTGTCACTACTGGAGTTGACTGTTATTTATATTAGTGCCACAGAGTCACCCATATGGTATGAATGAAATGATTTATTTGACAGTGATAAGTTAATGTCATCACTAAATCAGGAAGCAGAAAGCAAGACACATGCTAGCAGACTGATCTAACAGTGACCCATGATGCAAGTCACTTCATGTTTTTATGCCTCTTCTTTAAGCCATGTAGAGTAGTTATTGGTTTTCAGCACGGAAGATTTGCATACTCTCTCTTCCTGGCTTTCAAGGGTCATAAAAGATAAGAGGTTCTTGAAAAGCCATGACAGGCAGACATTCGCAGGTCTGACACAGTCAAACAAAGTTTTACTGAATGAAAAAAAAGGTGGCATTTTCTTCTCAGAGAAACTTTAATCATGCCATACAGCGAAGATACGATTAAGAAAATGCTTCCTAAGGTAAGGAATGTTTCATTTATCGCTGGATCAGCGGCTGTAGTTTCATGTACAGATTTCTCCAGTGTTTGTTTGTTTTTTGTCTATTCTCCTTTAAATTTTTGTTATTTTATGTTTTGAAGATATATCTTCGGAAGTGTGTGGCTCATGAAATAAACGTGGCATTAACTTACTTCAGAAACCTTGTGCCCGTAATGGATAAATATGGTAAGGTTCACAGTCCAATGCTGCTGAACTTTGTAAACTCGGTGGAAAAAGGAACGTTGCATTGTAACAGTAACTGCCTTTGCTGTGTTTTGTACAGTTTACAATGATGGAACTACAAAGAACTTGATGAGCTTAACCGGAACCATTCCTGCCACGATTAATAGTAATAACATTCGCATTCCATTTTGTTCTCTTTCATAACAGAATAACTTCAAACAAAAAATATGAAAGGTTAAGAATCTCTCTGATTTTGATATCTTTCTCTTTGCCATTATACAAGATATAACATATAACATTCCTATTTGCCTGTGGATTGAGGAAACCTACCCCCAAACTGCTCCCATCTGCTATATCAGACCCACACAACAGATGATGATCCTCAGCGGAAAGTATATCTCCAGCAATGGTGAAGTCATGCTGCCTTACCTGCGAGAGTGGAAGAATGTGAGAATTGAAGCAATATTTGTTTTCGACAAAGCTGCATGTGGGGTTGATTAGGGGTTGATTTTGCTGGCACTGACACAATGTGGTTGCATAACTCTACAGCCAGAGCGCATGAAAGTGACCCTTTCCTTCTATTATTAGGGGGAGTGTGACCTAATGAGCCTTGTTCAGGTGATGGTTGCCGTGTTTGGAGAATTTCCTCCTGTGTGTATGAAGCCTTCTGCAGAGCCTGAGCAAGCCTCTTGTAAGTAGCACACACAAGCTCGAAAGAAGCCTCTATGCTGTCAAAAACAACATCTGTGTCCTAGCTGATACTGATAAGATGGAGCCAATAATCGAGGATCCGCCTGATTGAGTTTGAAAATACCTTTCACTTGTCAGAATGTCAGACATGATCATTATTTGATTAACGATATTTATTCTATTTGTTCAGGTTGGCTGCAGTTCCACAGACAACCAGAAGTATTTACAGACACAGATGGAAGTTTATATCTGTCTTTAACAAGAGAAGACGGGCAACCTTTTCAGCAAGAAAATGAAACTAATTGTTAGTATTTTGTGCAATTTGGCAACAGTTTGTGAGAGAAATGTTTTTGTCAGTTTTTTTCCCCCATATTGTGGATGTGGTATCTATTGACTGTGTGTTAAATAGTGAAGTCTTCAGATATGAAAAAGCATGCTGTATTTTTATATTTCAAATGATTTTCATCACAAATTAGCACCCTTTCATTTGATTTTGTGTGGTAGCAATAAACATTTTAACCACCTTCATTGCTTTACAAGTGCCTCATAAAGATGTTGCTCAACTGCATCAATATTTTCTGGGCTGTTTGGACTTTAGATGGGTGTGGTCCTCTGTCATTTTATAAAAGCCTGTCTTATTTTATAAACTGATATAAAATAGAAAAAAACTACCTCTGTCAATAGAATATAGGTATAAGCTTTTTTCATCAGTGTAAACACATACCCAGAAGACTCTGACTGAAATATAATATTTTGTAAAATCTGACTGATTTATTCTGTTATTGAAAATAAATAGCTATGTTAAACCTGCATTGCTTGTCATTGTTGAAATAACTCTCATGGAATTGTAGTTCACTAACAAAACATTTGATTTTTGCCCATAATATCTAATATAGCAACTATAAATGGCTGAATTTTTATAGCCTATGTCTTCCTTGTCCTGCTAAAGAATATAAATGATGGCTAAATGTGTGATTGATGACTATAAGTATGATTATGGGATGCCACATAAAGTTGTGGTCAGAAGTTTCTATACACTCATCATGGGAATCATGGGAATTGGAGGCTTTGCATTTTTTTAAGCTTAAACACACATAAACACATTTAAATTTATTTTGAATTTTCTCTAATCCATACCAGAGCAAAAGTATACATACAGGCTCACATATACACATATATTTCCACTGATATTTGTTTAAATGTCCTAAGTTAAGTCAAGTGGCTTTTATTGTCATTTCCAACCATGTACAGTGGTACAGTACAGAGTGGTAGTGGTAGTGAGAGCCCGAATGCTCTGGTACCTCTTGCCAGAAGGCAGCAGGGTGAAGAGTGTGTGTGAGGGGTGTGTGGGGTCCTCCACAATGCTGTTGGCTCTGTGGACAGAGCAGGTGCTATAAGTGTCTGTGATGGAGGGAAGAGAGGCTTCAGTGATCTTCTCAGGTGCTCTCACAATCCGTTGTAGGGCAATCCGATACAGTGCAGTTTGCATACCAGACAGTGATGCAGCTGCTCAGGATGCTCTCGATAGCCTCTCTGTAGAACATGGTGAGAATGGATGGAGGGAGATGGGCTTTTCTCAGCTTCTGCAGGAAGTAGAGACGCTGTTGGGCCTTCTTATTTATGGAGCTGGTGTTGAGGGACCAGGAGAGGTTCTCCGTCAGGTGGACACCAAGGAATTTGGTGATCTTGATGACCTCCACAGAGGATCCATCGATGTTAAGTGGACAGTGATTGCGCCATGCTGTCCTGAAGTTGTACCTTGAATAGACTCTTTAGCATCAGTAAGCTTCTGGCATACCTGTGGCTGAATATTTGACCAATTCATTTAAACTGGTTGGCTTGCTGGCATGGCCCAGACTTTTAAACATAATCCATAATTGGGACTTTGGGAAGGCCTTTCCAGAAGCTTGACGTTAGTGGCGATCATGGCTCAACAGTTGGGAGCTTGCCTTGTAATTGGAAGGTTGCTGGTTCGAGCCCCAGCTCGGACAGTCTTGGTCGTTGTGTCCTTGGGCAAGACACTTCACCTACCAGAAGGGCCGATGGTGCGATATGGCAGCCTTGCTTCTGTCAGTCTGCCCCAGGCTACAACTGTAGCTTGCCTCCACCAGTGTGTGACTGGGTGTGTAAAGCGCTTTGGGGTCCCTAGTGGGGACTAGTAAAAGTGCTATACAAATACAGGCCATTTAGTGTGCTTTACTAATTTCAAAGCCAGTTTTGATGTATGGTTTGGATCATTGCCCTGTTAGAATATGGAATTGTGTTTAAGTTTCAATCATCATCATAATTTGAGGTAAAAGTAGAAGAATTTGTAAATACCACTGGCAGCAAAACAGCCCTAAAGTGTGATCCTGCCAACACCATGCCTGTCTCAATTTTACTTTAATATGAGATATTTAATATTTAATATGAGCTCTTAAAAATCTCATATCATATTATCCCAATATTATCCCAGTAGAGCACTAAACTCTTAGAATGAAGACTTACTCATGGTTTCTAGAGTATCCAATAGTTGAATGGCAGGAAGAGCCTGCAGCTCTCTCTCTTGTGGAAACAGCTCCTTTGGATTCAGGAGACAGATACTCTCTAGTTTTAAAATTAGATTTCAAACTTGATAACGCTTATAATTAGGGGTAGAGCAGGCTTCCTTCACTCCTAATGCATTTGGATGCCACTGCAACATGTGAATAATTTTTGTATATTCTCTTCCATAATGTTTGTTTTGTCCTTGTCTGCTATGCTCCCCTTTTGTTTCTTCTCTATTGCCTCACCCCGAGTCCTGTTGTGGCAGATGAGTGCCCCTCCCTGAACAAGTCATGCTTTAGGTCACTTTTTGTAAAAAGGGAGTTCTTCCTTCCCACGGTAGTCAAGTGCTTCCTCGTGGGGATTCTGTTTGTGTGCATCTCACGGAAGTAAAAACAGTAAACATTAAATAAGATGTAATTATTAATTCATTTAATGTGTACATTTACAGATTTATATCACGGGCTATCGTAGAATTTGGGGATCTTACATTGACGTGTTAATCACATCACGTCACACAGGGACCGGAAGCACTAAAGAGAACTGCCGGAAATTCCTTTTGTTGACCATCGGATTTTTGTTTTCAAGCTCCTTTTTACAATTACTCGTTAGCTATTTTGTCGATTTATGAGTTGTTTTTTGAGTATTCGCGTGGAACACAGATACAGTTCCCGTTTACAAGACTGGAAGATTCCTCGTAGTAGCTGAATCACGCCCTTGTTTGAGTCCGCCCGAGCTAGGGCTAACGTTAGCCTTGCATTTACCGGAGCTCCGCTAGCCAGCTTTAGCTTGCATTCGCTGTCACTTTAGCTGTCATAAAAGTCAGCTGTTAAGACGCTTAACTTATTAATAAGAAAAGTGAAAATAAACACCTGAGAAACATGGCAGTAGTCAACGAAAGTAACCTGAAGAAAATGCTAAAGGTAAGTTTGAGCTTGAGTGTTGACTCTTGAAAAACGATAGCAAATTAGCTCATAGCGTCCTGTTTGACACTGGCTAACGTTAGAAGCTAGTTTAACATTTCCTGGTACGGTTTTGTTTAATAGACTGTCAATTTTCGCCAAATTTAAGATAATAAAGTATCTTAAATATTGTTTTGGTAAAATATATTGTACTAAATTAGATTGAGGCATAACTGTGTAACCATAGAACACACAGTTGCACATATTATTAATTGAAGTTACTTTGGTTAAAAAAATGAGACCACAGTTTTGGAGGTTACCGTAGACCTGTATTTATATTGCCAGTCGTGTTCAGAATACTTTAGAGAATTGTTTATTACCAGGTTTGTGATGCATCGGTGGGAAAAAGCTAATGACTCTCAATCGGTTGCCAGACCAAGGGACTCTATTGACACTGGTCTTAAACACTTCTCTGATAAAAATGAGTTTAATATGGATAATTGTATCCATACTGGTATTGTACTAATTTACGTTCACAAGGCTTTTTAATTGGATTATTCTAATTTATAAGCAAATGTAAAGAGGCAGTAAATTTAATCTGTAAGGTGTTTCAAGTCCTGCTTACAGTATGTAGAATTAAATAATGGTTCTTCAAGGTCACCCCTTGGAAATTTTATCTGTGGTGTACCACAAGGATCTGTTACAGGTCTATTACTGTTTCAGATTTGTCTTTTGAACATTTCCTTTATGTACGTGATTCTTATCCAGCTCTTGTAGTTTGTGTAAAAATCCTAAGGATATTGAGCTTAGCTCAGTAATAAGAATCTGTTATCCCGCGGTTAGAAGAACAGTAAGCTTGCACTTCATTTGTTGAAGAGTGAAAGTATTATTTCTGATAGTAAAAAAAACAAACAAACGTGGCCTGTCAGTGAAATATAATTCAGTTAACATTAGCTCAACTGACAGTGCAAAATACCTATCAAATAAGTTGACTTTTATTTTTAGTTGTATTTTTTTAGTCATTATTCTGGTAATTAAGTGATATATGTTTTTAGTCTGTGATATGTTTTGGAGTGAAATAAAATCAATCAGTCAATACAAATGATCACTCTCAGTTTGTATGGCACTGAATTTTGAATAGCAGCTTGGTAAACAAAATATAAAAAAAAAAAAAAAGTAAAAATATTAATTTTGTCTCCTCTACTTGTTGCCCAGCAATACAAATACAGAGACCTGACTGTTCGTGAAATAACCAATGTGATCTCCCAGTACAAGGATTTGAAGCCAGTCATGGATGCTTATGGTAAATTAAGTAATATTTATCTCCTGTTTTTAACTGCTTGGTTTCACTTGTATGTTGTGTAATGGCATGCATCTGCTTGTATTTCAGTATTTAATGATGGCTCCACAAGAGATCTGATGAGCTTGACAGGAACTGTTCCTGTGAGCTACAGAGGTAATGGATGTTTCTTTGCTCTCTAAAAAGAGGTTTTCCAATAAATTAATAACTTTATATATATTTTTGAAAATTTCAAGCATAATTAAGTGAAGTTTTTTTTTTTTTTTTTTACTACTATTTATAAT